AGATGTTGAATGTAAGCATAGTGTCAGTTGAATGTATCTGAGGTATCTGAGGTTTGGTTAAACTTCAACAGTTGCTTTTATGTGTAAGGTGGATGTTGGTGTTGTTTTACAGTTTGCCTAATTGACACCTAATGGAATTAGCTAAACAGATGAATAAAAAGCAAATATACTTATTAAGCCACCTCAGTTTATCATAATAAAAACATGAGAAATACAAATACAAAAAACACAGAGACAGACCTAACAGATAGGTAAGTGTGTAACAGAAATGTTTACTGTCTGACCATTATACTCAAGACAGGCTGTATATACAGCATCCTGTGAGAGACAAGCATTTAACTTGTTGAGCGGAACAGACATAGGATATTATATGAGAGGTGTATTTTGGGATCTGTAGCGAGAGAAAGTGACAGTTGTGGTTTCACTATAATCATGCTGGGCTGAGGTTGCTGGTCTGTCGGGGATTGTGCTGTACAAGTGGTACATATCATACTACAAGACAGAAACAGACAGTTTGACAATTAGGCCTTTGGGTCTACAGAATTTGGCATATAAATTATATGGTAAGAACAATTTAAAGAAGTGCAGAACACAACCACACGGGTGATTGTGAATTAGACAAACTATGGCTATCATTATTATTTGTGCTGTCCTTTTGAGATGCCTGTGTATCCACTCCAACAGTGGGCATTAACGTGAATGGTACAGAAGTGATCAGACTGTAGTTTCCTGTATCCCCTGCATCAACCTGGAGGAGAGACAGAGAGAGATATTAGTTATCCTGTCTGTCTGTCTGTCACTTTGAATGTTCAAGGGTCATGTCAAGAGTGTGCAAAGCTGTCATCAAGGCAAAGGGTGGCTATTTGAAGAATCTCAAATATAAAATATATTTTGATTTGTTTAACAGTTTTTTGGTTACTACATGATTCCATATGTGTTATTTCATAGTTTTGATGTCTTCACTATTATTCTACAATGTAGAAAATAGTAAAAATAAAGAAAAACCCTTTAATGAGTAGGTGTTCTAAAACTTTTGAACGGTAGTGTATGTATGAGTGTGTGTTTGGGGGGGATCATGTGTACATTGCATGTGTACATTGCATGTGTGTTACTTAGTCGACTTTGCCCTTTTGCGTTAGTAACAGCAAAACAGAAGAAGTGCAAGTAACAGGGCTTGATGTCATTTCCCACTTCTCCTCATGGTTCAAACCACCCTGCAGATCTACAGCTCTATTCTCACGCTCCACAGATGCTCTGACACATTCATTTCTGTTTTAAGTGCCATATATGCTTGTTGATATGGTTGATATGGTTAGGCCCAAAGTTTAAAATGCTGACTAAACATGTACAGTAGCTGTGTACTTGCAGATGGTCCTGAGTTCTGAGGGACAAACCTGAGGGCATGAATGTGGACTGTACATAAGTGACCTGGCAATATATTCCATTATCTCCTGAATCCACCTGTAGTAGAGAGAGAGGGAGAAAAAGAGAGAGAAAAGAGAGAGAGATACTTTTTATGCTCCAGTCTAACAAACTGTCTGTCTATTCTACTCTCTAACTCGTGACATGAACTGCACCCTCCTTTGTATCACAGGAAGTGTTTGTGGGTTTTGTCATTTTGAGGTCAACCCATATCCAATGCAAGATGTAGGTTATTTGATCAAAAATAGTTTATACGACTGAACTCTGTACCTACTTAGGAACAAATTTACAAGGTTTACATTAATTAATGTATTAGGAAATTATTTCAGGTGAAAACATCTTATTTGGTAATAAATCTGTAAATAAATATAGCTGTTGGTTCGATACTTTGAACATTCATATGTTGAAGCACTACTAATGTAACATTAAGGTCTTGAACCTCATATCAGACAGTCAGAGGGCAGAGGAGGCTGGCGGGAGGAGTTATAGGAGGATGGGCTCATTGTAATGGCTGCAATGGAATGGAGTCAAACACGTGGGTTCCATGTATTTGATTTGTTTGACTCCGTTCCATTGATTCCATTCCGGCCATTACAATGAGCCCGTCCTCCCATAACTCCTCCCACCAGTCTCCTCTGTCAGAGGGGTATATGTACATAGATACCACTGTAATGTCTAGAATACTCACCATGCCTCCACTGCTCACCACTCCCATAGACACCAAATCATCTACAACAGAAACACAATAAAAATTGAATGAGTGTTTCTACATACTAACTGTAAATCGCTCTGGATAAGAGCGTCTGCTAAATGACTAAAATGTAAATGTAAATGTATGTGTGTAGTTGTGTTAGTAGTGTGTGCAGTGTTTGATGTATTTTGTTTGGAACATACATCGGCTGTGATCATCCTGTCTGGCTGTAGGTCTATACAAAATACAAGTATAAGAAGGTTGTGGTAAGAATATCTCATCATGGACAATACAGAACTAAAGGTTGATAGAATCTGCATCATACAATAACCCAAACAAGGGGAATTCTTACCTCTGAGAATTGGTTTTCTCTGAAAAACAAATTAGGCTAAATTAATTATATTGAATATTTCCTACCCTATACAAAATCAATACTGCCAAAGGTACTTATATTAATGTCAGCATGGTAAATTTGCAAATGATTTGTTATGCAGAATCGAATGTACTCACTGGTCCTCCTGCAGAGACAGACAGCTGTCAATCCTACAAGGAACCCGCCCACTCCAGAAGCCACACCCACTGCTGCCTGCCATAATTGCGCCACTATTTGGTGACATGATGACATCGGGAGAGATCATTAGCTCTTGGAGACCACATTGTTCTTCTGAGAAAATGTGCACAGCTCCGTTTTCATATGTGTGAGAAAAGACAGCTAGAAAAGGATACTTACCCAGAATGCTTTTTTGACTGTTTGATTCCACATCACTTTCTGTGGAGCTTTGACCTCCTGGGCACATGCAAGAGAGAAAGACAGTTTAATAACAGAGTTATGTACATATTTCTATAATGAGACAAATTGTTTAATTAATCCTAAACCCATGACTGAATTTACATTTGGCTATATTTGCAAAACTGGTTTATGCTTTAGTAAACAAAAATATTTTGCAAACTAAATTAAACCTATTGGCTATACTTACTTTCCGTTGGACTCGCTGGGGTGTCAGTGGTCAAGGTACAGCAAACAGTCGACTCTAATGCAAAGCAAATCATTGAATCGGACTATACACAAATACATCAATGGGTTTTATTCAATCAAATATCAACCTCTTTTTGTAATGAGGCAAATTTGTGATGGGAAAAACTCGTACAAAAACCTAGAGAATATGAAGCTTTCTCTATTTGTTTTACTTATATTTGCTAACTAGATAAAGATGACTAAGAGACCCGATGTAGGATTCAATGCCGTGCTGGTGGTCAACGGGGAGGTCAAACCTGGTGAGAAGAGATGACTCATATTACACAAAAACAAATGTAAATTCATTTAATATCTGAGGTCATTCAATAAGCAGAAAAGAGAGGTACACTACACTTTACCTACAAACAGATGGACTAAAAGTACACAAATCTGGACTGAAATTACAAGCAGCTATGAATAGGTCTATTAGTAAACAGGTTGGAGCTTTAGTGAATTAATGTGAACAAAAATATTGTAATTGCAAACTAAGTTAAACTTAGTGGGCCTACTTACTGGTAGTTGGTCTCACTGTGGTGTCTGGGGTCAAAGAAGGAGTAACAGTTTAAACTAGTCGGAAGCAATATGATTACACAAGAATACGGTATTACATTAATACTTTGGTGATTTAATTTTACAGGCCCGTAATCTAAACCCTTGACTGTACAATTAGTATTTGCAGAGATGGTCATTTAGAGGACCAACACACCTTCTGTAGGACTCACTGTCGTGGTGGCCGGCAAAGTAGATCTAGGACCTGGAGTCAAACCCACTGAGAAGGCATATTAATGAAATTAAAGCATTTTCTTCATGATCATATTAATGATCATTATGTTGTTGTTGGACTTTTGAAATATCTTTATGACTTTCAAAGTGGGCAAAGTAGGACTATAAAAATCACTACGGACAGATTGCTTCTAGCCCAGGTAGATTATATTTCTCCTCATTATAGAGATGATAAGACCAATTCATAAGGTGATAAAGTCTTTCAGGACAGATAAGGTGTTGATTGTTGTTGTCAGCTTCCTATAATAAGATCACCATGTTATCTAACAGCATAAGCATAACAGTGCATAGATACGATCTAAACACTCGACTAGATGAACACAGAAATGATATTACTTGTGCGGATGATCCCAGACATTGGTGTTGAGGCTGGTGTCCTATCTATAGAACAGCTTAATTATCTAACAGAACAACTTAATTTACACAACTATTCTTATTGCTGATGTAGTGTCTAAACAGTTTATGACTTTGCTGACGTTTGCAAATGGTGTGTTAGAGGAAGTTGACTCAGCTTGCGGAAGCATATGGAAAGCATTACTATAGGGGCCCCCTAAAACAGAGGAAGTCTGTTATTTGGAGGCCAGGGATTGGTTTATGGGGAAAACCACCCATATCATGTTACAGATTATAAATACCATGGTTGAAACAAAGGACGGGGAGGAACAACATATTAGAGATTGGGTCAGTTGTTCTCCAGATGTCTGCAGGAGTCTGTAAATTGACGCTGAAATCTTTGGTGTAATAAACTATTATAATCAAGGACAGTGTCAGCGGATTTCTTGTCATCACAGCATAATTAGCATCGTTATCTCGACACTACACTGAAACCCGCCATGTTTTAAAATAACAGCAGTGCCACTATAAAATAACAAATGTGTAGCCTACCTGCTATAGAAGGTGTCTGTATAATTGTTGGATCACTAATGTGAACTCCCACCAGATCTAAAAACATTTTTGGGATTGAAATGTGGTATTTAGTTTGTGGGTCAGAATGATTATAGAAGATGCTAAAATCAAAGTGAGTCAGATTATGAAGACCTGCAGCACTGATAGATTTGTATAGTTAATCACTCACCTGTAAATCTGTACCCATCACTGTGTGGAGAGAGAGAGTTTGGTCCTGAGCTCACTCTGTAGTCACAGCTCACCTCCTTACGCCTCACTGACTGAAGACCACTGACCAGATCACTCTCAGTTACAATGAATTGACAGAACCACTGATAGAATGCTGAGGGTGCTTTTGTCTTCTTGATCTTTGCTGTGAAGGATGGCTGACTCTCCTCTCCAACATACAGGTTACAGGTGGTGTCAGGACTCACAGATCCAGGAATCAAACATAAGACGCTGAAGTGCCCATCAAAATGGACTGTAATGTCTGGTTTTGGATCTGTTGGGAAAGGACAGAGACTCCTTTTTGCATTACTCTATTTGAATGTAATGTATATATCACAAGATACACTGACTCTTACTAAACTAGAGCCTACCATTCTCTTTATATTACGTATCAGCATGTCTTATTTGATATCATGCCTATTTATGAGTGCCATTTAATCATATGTGCTGTGTGTTTACAACGATTGCCTTTCACTTAATTCCTTACATTCTCACGTGTGAAATCAAATGCAATCGCATGGACTATTTTGCCTGCTTGTATGGTGTCCTGTGATTCCACAAATTAGCATGGACTAAAGTGAGATTGAGACAGCTGTTGCCAATTCTCTATCAACTCCTCCGTCCCCAAACGAATTACTAAACACGCCCCAGAACTAGAGTTAAAAGGAACTGGACCAGTGACCTCTCGACCGACTCACTGCTCCTCTCCGCTGGTCCCCTGCTGTGGGAAAGACACAAATCACAACGCTCTCTATAGCACTACTAAAGGAAAGTGCTTGTTTCAAACGTGTGACTGTGACCCCAATTGTTGTACATGCTCTAATTGTATGTTTTGTGTCTCCCACGACTACAGACACTGGGGACACGCCCAACGCTGCTGTGATAGGCTAAACCCAACTCTACCACGCAGCCGGGCTGGTGTGGAGCGAGGGACAGTAGGCGACCTGCCGTTGAACACCGAACCAGCCATCGACTACCGAACCAGCCATCGACTACCAGACCAGCCATCGACTACCAGACCAGCCATCGACTACCAGACCAGCCATCGACTACCAGACCAGCTATCGACTACCAGACCAGCCATCGACTACCAGACCAGCCATCGACTACCAAACCAGCCATCGACTTACGATCCCTGCTCGGGAGGAAGAGACGAACCCTGCTCGGGTAGAACCGAACAAACGAACCCTGCTCAGAAAGACCCGAATGAACATTGGCCACCGATCGGGAATGAACTGCTGTGTTAGTTTGGGAGAACAAGAGACAGATGGAGGAGTCTCACAGCTCAGCTGAACTGAGTCTCTTTCTCTGATTACTGTACAACTGACTGTCAGCCTGGGAGGAGGTGGGTCTGTGAGATCAGAAGAATAGAGTGTGCTTCTTTGATTGTTGCATTTAAAAACAGGTAATCCATACATACTAACAGTATGTAAAATCTATAAATACTGTCCAACTCTTCATTTTCAACTACATCAGTATCTATGTTTGCATAGTACAGTAAAACCTACAGTAAGACCTATTATGTGAAATGAAGACATTGGTGAAATATTCTGAACAAGCATTATGAGCATACAGTATAACAGTGAAGTGTATAATTTTACAAACCATTACTTACCCAGAACAGTGACTGAGACAGGGTCACTGAAAGGAGATATGTGAGACTTCCCTATAGCGTAGTAACATTTCACTTTGACCACAGCTGGAATTGTTGAACCCGCCCTCTTGAGCAGCTCAGTTCCTGTTATTGTCTGCGTACACGATGAGTGTGGAAGATTCTTCACCCCCTCTATGTAGAAGTAACAGTGAGACACATGGAGAGATGGAGGAGTCTCACAACTCAGCTGAACTGATTCTCTCTCTCTGATGACTGTAGAACTCACTGTCAGCTGAGGATGGTCTGTGAGAATAGGGGAATTAAGCATTTAGCGGTTTTGAGAAATTTACTGACAGCCTAATCCCTCCTTGTTATGTCAGATTTAAGGATCTTGAGTCAATTACTTTATGCAGCGACAGTATGGGAAATTAAGGAGATATCATATATTGCTTGATTACTTCATGTAATAGCTTATTACTACAAACAGTATGATAAAATATCCCAAGAGGAACATGGTAATCATGGTGTGGTGTATTAACATTATGACTGTTTTGGAACAAAGAATGTTGTTTTATGATCTTAGTTCAAATGTGGCGTTTGGAGGGTGACTCCCCAGGGTAGACTGGTGATTGGCCAGAAGAGGGAGCCACCCACATCTTGGGAGGTTATATATAAGGGGGGAACAACGACGGAGGGGCAGAAAGCATTGAGATTCATTTGGGACTGCTTCTCCAGATCTTCGCGTGTCTGTACCTTATGCTGTAACCTCGTGATTTAAAAAAAAGCCTTTGAACACGGTACAGCCTAGGCAGACTCTTTTGTTAACAGCAATAGCTACCAGCAGCCGACGCGACACGACAATGGCACAACAGTACATGTTTTACAACCATTAAAAACAATCTTCTTACCCTGAATTGTGACTGTAGAAGGCTCACTGTTTATGGATCTAAACTGTGAACCTGTAGCAATGTACTGACATTGTATTTTGACCTCAGCTGGTGAAATCTGACCTGTCCACCTCAACAGTAGTGTTCCTGTGAGTGTCTGTTGACAGGGTGATGGTAGGGTAAATTCTACTTGCCCCTCTATTTTGAAGTAACACTCAGAGACAGATGGAGCAGTCTGACAGTTCAGCTGAACTGAGTTTCTCTCTTTGATGACTGCAGGAATCACTGTTAGGCTGGGCTGAGGAAGATCTGTGAGAACAGAGGGATGATGGAGTGTCTCTTTTAATTTAATTATGAATTCATTTTCAATGTTTAAGTACTCATATAGATCACAGGAGGTTGGTGGCATCTTAATTGGGGAGAACGGGCTCGTGGTAATGATTAGAGCGGAATAAGTGGAATGGTATCAAATACATCAAACATGGTTTCCATGTGTTTGATGCCATTCAATTTGCTCCATTCAAGCCATTATTATGAGCCGTCCTCCCCTCAACAGCATCCACTCATATAGATACTGTACCACTTAATATTAAATAAGTTTGAAAGACTAAATAATCACTGTTGTCTATTTAAGCAATAAACCATTAGAACCCGGGCCAGGAACAGCCCTTAGGAGGGAGTTATCACACAATAATCCCCGGGTTCGAGGGTCATTTTGCTTTTATAAAATGGTTGCCAACATAAAAAAAAAAGATTAAGGACATGTTTTCATTAAAAACGTTATTGTAATGAGTAAATTTGCTTTATTGAATCCTTCCACCAGAACATATGTGCCTCATTTTCGAACGTTGCTATTTGGGCACAGCCAAACAACGGAAGTGATGGATTCGACTTCCGCTTGACTTACCTACTGCAGCGCGCTGGTGGCAAACTTGTTATTTATTTAAAAGAGTCCATTTATAGAGTATAAATGTCAAGTAAACAAGTATAAGTGTAATTTTATATTTATTTCATTCAAGTTCGGTAACGTTAGCTATACCTATTAGTAGCCTAGGCTAGTTCTGTTGTGATAAAAACGTTAGTTGTGTTGTGTTAAGGCCCGGGCCATCCAAGCCAATAACTATAACAAAAACTATAATGACAAACTATAGGCTACAAAACTGTAAAACGTTGGTGAGCATCCATACTAGAGGAAAATGGATAGTTTATCATTCTACAGTCCTACACCTGTCAATCAACTGATCAACGCATCCTACTGCACGCTGCCTATTAATTAGGTGGTAACACAAGACCATTCATGAGGTCTCTAACGCACAGATACTGGTTCAGACCATTCAGTGCTTTCAGGGTGTGTTCATTGTCAGTGAGAACTACAAATAATCCTTCGATGTAGGCTACATGTAGACCTAACGAAAATAAATATAGTATTTAAATGTAGCAATTCAACAACAAATGCTGTTTAGCCTGCTAATCTTTTACAGCATGTCATTGCCTCCTTGCTCAAGTGGTTTGCAAGTGATTCCCATTTTGCTAATGGTTGTCAATGCCTTTGGGTCTTCTTTTTGACTGTGCTCATCTGTGTATGTCCTGTGCAACTATTTGCAATACATCAGTGCAACAATGTTATCATAACCGGCCAAAAGTGATCACACCAATGCATTTTCTCTCCTCATCTTTTCCTCACATACATTTTCTATGCTGTAGGCCTGTTTTAGATTCAGCAATTAGCAAGAGCAAGCCTGCTTCTTCCCCAAATAGGCTATTAGGCCTAGTATAAACAATTATCAAAATAAATGTCCTATAGCTTTTGTAGCCTATAGGAATGGCCCATTGCGGAGAGGCATGCGTAGCCTATAGCCTGTTGCGAACGGGAACAGCTGGAAGAGAGGCTAGTGATGTGTAGCCGAAGTAAGAAGCTAAATATTAGCTAGATATTAGGCCATTCATTAGCTAAATATTAGGACTGTTGGCTAAATATTTACCTGTCAAATAAATTAACACGTTATGAAATGGTAGATCTGTAGTGCGTTCCTCCACACTGCGCTGTGGTCCCCAGGCACGCAAAGCTCCACTATTGATCAGGCCTATGTTTTTAGACAATACAATTATTATACTTGGGCTACAACAACACAGTGCAATGAAGAATGTATTATTGTTATCAAGTGAATACACAATTATTCGACATAGTTTGTAAACTGCAGTGCTAATTTGAATAACCGCTCATGCGTCCTGTTTTGTTTCATGCCTAAATAACTGCATAGGCCAACAACCTAGGCCTGATTATGTAACCATTTGGATCAGTTTGGGTCCATTCTCGACAGTTTAGATTTAGAAGGTCCAGAAAGGTACATTAGCAGGCCACTCATATGGTGTAGGCCTATTTTGTCAGGATGTAGCCCGGTGTTAAGATAGGCCTACTATCGGAAAATATGGGCTTCTCCTTTCCAACTCCCCGCCTGTTAATGCTGTACCCTATTTTACATTCACCTTCAATAGGCTACAGAAAACAAGTCTAAATAAGTGTCCAACAAGTTTTTGTAGTCTGACTTTTCCTGGGACTCTACAAGATTTAAAAGGAATAGCCGTGGCAGCAGAGAGGACAGGTGCGTAATTGAGCAACAGAACAATGAAGACAGACTCGAGATGTAGCCTATAGCCTAAGTTAGAAGCATATGCATATTAGCCCATAATTCATAAACTCAATGTTAGCCTTAATACTGCAGTGAATACAGTGCCCTCCATAATTATTGGGAAAGTGAAGCATTTGTTATTATTTTGGCTCTATACTTCAAAACGTTGGATTTAAAATTAAACAATGACAATGTGGTTAAAGTGCAGACTGTCAATTTGAATTTATGTGTAATTTCATCCATATCGGGTAAACCGTTCAGAAATTAGAGCATTTTTTGTACATAGTCCCCCAATTTTAGGGGAGCAAAAGTATATGGTCCAATATTCATAGCACGAAATGACTACATCAAGCTTGTGACTCTACACATTTGTTGGATACATTTGCTGTATGTTTTGGTTGTGTTTCAGATTATTTTGTGTTGTGAAGCTAGCAACAATAAGGATTAGCCACAATAGTGGATAAATACAAACAGTGGAATCATGCCATATTTAGACTAGATCATGCTAAACAACTTTGGAGTGTTGGAATGTGGAGCAATGAAATGGAGTACCAGTCTACTCAGTGACACTCACAGAACACAACTGTGAAGAGTTTACACAAATATTAGCGTTGTAGCTCTTATTGCGGGACATTGACTGTGGGAAATCACCCCCCCCCCCCCCTCCCCAGTCAGCCTATTTTGCATATTGACATTCATATTGCACTGTACAGCCTTACCTAAGGATTGTGGATCAATGAAATGGGGTATCAGTCTACTCAGTACTCAAGTGCTTTTTGCCCCAAAGTCCTCCTCAGAGTTTTCAGACTCCAAAGCATCCATGTTGTATTGTTTTTCCTCTGGAATAGTGTTCAATACACATTCTGTGCATTCGGAAAGTATTCAGACCCCTTGACTTTTTCCACATTTTGTTACGTTACAGCCTTATTCTAAAATGGATTAAATTATATTTTTTCCTCATCAATCAACACATAATACCCCATGATAACAAAGCAAAAACAGGTTTTTAGAAACTTTTGCAAATTTATTAAAAATAAAACATAGAAATACCTTATTTACATAAAGTACTCAGACCCTTTGCTATGAGACTCGAAATTGAGCTCAGGTGCATCCTGTTTCCATTGATCATCCTTGAGATGTTTCTACAACTTTATTGGAGTCCACCTGTGGTAAATTAAATTGATTGGACATGATTTGGAAAGGCACACACCTGTCTATATAAGATCCCACAGTTGACAGTGCATGTCAGAGCAAAGACCAAGCCATGAGGTTGAAGGAATTGTACGTAGAGCTCTGAGACAGGATTGTGTCGAGGCACAGATCTGGGGGAGGGTACCAAAAAATGTCTGCAGCATTGAAGATCCCCAAGAACACAGTGGCCTCCATCATTCTTAAATGGAAGAAGTTTGGAACCACCAAGACTTGTCCTAGAGCTGGCCGCCCAGCCAAACTTAGCAATCGGGGGAGGTAACAAAGAACCTGATGGTCACTCTGACAGAGCTCCAGAGTTCCTCTGTGGAGATTGGAGAGCCTTCCAGAAGCATGGTGGTGGCAGCATCATGATGTTGGAATTTTTCAACGGCAGGGACTGGGATACTAGTCAGGAACGAGGGAAAGATGAATGGAGCAAAGTACAGAGAGATCCTTGATGAAGGTCCTCTGTAGCTCAATTGGTAGCATGGCGCTTGTAACGCAAGGGTAGTGGGTTCGATCCCCGAGACCACCCATACGTAAAAATGTATGCGCACGTGACTGTAAGTCGCTTTGGATAAAAGCGTCTGCTAAATGGCATATTATATTATTATTATATTATGAAAACCTGGTCCAGAGCGCTCAGGACCTTTGACTGGGGCGAAGGTTCACCTTCCAACAGGAAAATGCCCCTAAGCACACAGCCAAGACAATGCAGGAGTGGCTTCAGGACAAGTCTCTGAATGTCCTTGTGTGGCCCAGCCAGAGCCTGTACTTGAACCCGATCGAACATCTCTGGAGAGACCTAAAAATAGCTGTTCAGCAATGCTCCTCATCCAACCTGACAGAGCTTGAGAGGATCTGCAAAGAAGAATGGGAGAAACTCCCCAAATACAGGTGTGCCAAGCTTGTAGATTCATACCCAAGAAGACTCAAGGCTGTAATTGCTGCCAAAGGTGCTTCAACAAAGTACTGATTACAGGGTCTGAATACTTATGTAAATGTAATATTTTATACATATTTTATACATTGGCAAAAATTTCAAATAATCTGTTTTTGCTTTGTCATTATGGGGTATTGTGTGTAGATTGATGAGGGGAAAAAACAATTTAATACATTTTAGAATAAGGCTGTAACGTAACAAAATGTGGAAAAAGTCAAGGGGTCTGAATACTTTCCGAATGCACAGTAGTAGGTTGACTGGTACAATAGATGTGGCTCATTTCACAGTGGTTTCAGAGTCCCTCAATATGAGCTACAAATCCAATGTATTTGCCACATGCACCGAATACAACACATGTAGACCTTACAGTGAAATGCTTACTCACAAGCCCTTAACCAACAATACAGTTAAGAAAAATAATGTTAAGTAAATATAGATAAGTAAAACAGAACAAATAACAAATAATTAAAGAGCAGCAATAAAATAAAATAACAGTAGGAAGGCTATATACAGAGGGTACCGGTACAGAGTCAATGTTCGGGGGCACAGGTTAATTGGGTAATTGAGGTAATATGTATAAGGTGTTCTGTGGGTGTCCCTGAATAGACTGATACCTATGGATTGTGGATCAATTAAATGGGGTAAGGCCGTACAGTGAAATAAGTATGCCCCCAATGCAATTCTAAAGTCTAATACAGCCAGTGTGATTTCAACAGATTTTTGTCAAATTAACAAATTATTTTGTTGAATTCATATAATAACATGCAACCTTGTTTAGCATGATCTATTCCATTATAGCATGATTCCACTATTTGTATTAATTTGCATCACTTTCAATGAAGGACTTTTATTTTGAAGGCAAAACCGCAAATTCCACTATTGTGGCTAATCCTTATTGTGGCTAGCTTCACATAGCTTCATTAATTGAATACGACCTGTTTTATGAATTAAGGGTATTCTAGATGATGACAGCTATCTAACTATAGCTACGGAAACAAATCTCGTTTTGCTATGTTTTTGGGGAAGAACATTGTTTGCATCAATGAGCTAGCTAGCTTTTTTTCTGACCAGCACTGTCCCAGAGCTTGGGGAAGTGTGTCAGCACTTGTAAGGCAGACGCAGGTGCGCAAGATAAAACTTGACCAGCATCATATATATAGGTGAATCGCTGTGACATATGAAATACAAATGATAGTGTAATCAATGTGTAATAACTACGTAAAAAGGTATTAAGCAGGACATTCATACGAGACTTAAACTCCAATTATAATCCAAATGTAGTGTGAAATGCACTCATAAGCAACATGTAAATAGAGCATTTTTTCGCTGGCCTTATATAAAAACTCCCCAGTGTTCTGCCACCACCTTGCACGCATCGCCCTCGTGCGGCAATGTTTGCAAACACAAAAGGAGTCTATTCACTGTTCCATCTGACTGCGCAATCCACTGTCACATCAGCCCAGCCAGGCCATTTATAAACTTGATCTCCACTGTAAAAAGCATCTAGACATTATATCCGATTTATTTTAGACTAGCATTTGGTTTTAAACAGCAGAGATTTGTATTAATCTTGCTGTCTGTCTCCGACATTTGAAACATTGTTTCAATATTGAAATTCGATCTCCAGCTGTCCCATAGTAATAAACGAATGTGTTGGGATGAGATAGTCTGTTGCTTTTCTCAGCCAGTCGAAATCATAAATCAGTATAATTTTTATGGATATATATAAAGAAATGCCAATAGAAAAACACGAAATCCAGCTAGTTTGTTGTCATTTCAGCTTCAGTTTGAAGTGATTATGTTAGCTTTATAGGTGGCTTGCTCCTCTGAATAGTGTCCTGGAGAGAGAGCACATTTTCTATGCCAGGCGAAATCGCGCATCGAGTCATTAGCTCATTGTTATGGATGTATACGTTTCATTCTATGAGATAATAGCAGTCAGTTAACATGACCTTTATGAATTATGAAGTCTTTATGTGATTTATGTGTTTTTTATTATTACATAAATTCTTCAAAATTCACAAAACGTGATGTTAGCTGATGAAGATTATCTCATAGAACAAAACGCATAAAATCTCCTAAGCCTCTGTTTACCACAGACCTTATTTTCGCCATTTATCAAAAAAAAACTACAAAAACCCATTAATTTTCCTCATAGGCTTTGTCCAACGAACCAATGGCGGAGTTATTGCCTACAAAAATACACGATGACTATTTATCTCTATAGAGACAACATGTCAATTGTATTTCCTCTCCAATATTTATTGAAAATATAAATACATTTGTACAATGAGCTCTTGTTGTCTCTCAAATACATCGTTAAGGTACAGTTTTTGGTTAGCTAGCTTGCGAATTTTTGCCATATTAGCACTAACATGAAATCAGTCAAAACACCTCAAAACAAGACATGGTATCAATAACAAGATGAAACAAGCCACTTATTACTAATATTATTTAGTAAAAATAGTTAACTGAATTGTTAAAATTGAAAATCATTCCAGTTTAAAGATGTACTTAGCAGAAATCTCTCCGCCATTTCCTGGTTGCTAAAATTCTAATAGTTCGCCTAATTTCAGTTTCAAAACAAGCAAGTATAGTGTAGAGAATCATTGTACCATCTAAACCGTTGTGAAATATACTTTCCATAACCAAAAATATTGTATTTTCAGCTGTTTGAAGCTGGTGTACAAAACAGAAAGTAAAAGAAGCAAAAACGAAATTTAAAATCGGGAAGCATAGAAGTAGCGTACATAGAAAAGACCAACCTTCTTAGACTTGCTTACAATGCGGATGACAGATCTATAAATCACAATTCTATGTGAATTTTGTCTGGTAGCCCAAAAAGTTACATATTGCAGCCAGTGGCGGCTCCTGAAAAAATTCTCAGGAGGGGCAATTTTTCTGATGATTTAGGTGACCTACACACATTTTTAAAAAGATATGTCCAGCAACAACATGAAGACAGGGGCAGCATATAAGTCAATACCAGAAGCATTTATTGACTGATCTCAAAAGTGTTGGCTTACAAAAGCAAAATAAGTTATCACAGTAAAAATAATCAAGGGTGTTCTTTCACATTCCTCAACACTGCATAAACAATATGTATGGCTTTGTAAAAATGAACAACCATATTCTGGCCAATTGTATAGATTTGTAAATATGAACAACCATATTCTGGCCAATTGTATAGATTTGTAAAAATGAACATGAACAGATTTTTTATTTTTTTGAATGGCAGTACCTTTCAAACATGTCTGCTTGCAGTAAGGTAGCACTCACAAGGTGGCCAGAGAAAGAGAACCTTTCTTTGGTGTGATCCAGGATGGTGTTGCAGACCTCTTCAGACAGCCTCTGCTTCTCCTCTTCTCTCAAAGCTGTTCTGGGTCTTTTGGCTCCTGTTGCTTCTTGCAGCTGCTGTTGAGAGGAGTCCCTGAAGGCAAACAGACCAATGTGTTTGTTGGCTTTGTACAGTATTGTTGTCTATGTGATGCACAGGTATATGCAATGTATCCATGTATAGTACAAATACTTCAGTTCCACTTAAAATGGGCAGGGATGCATAAAGTCTTTAGTGTTTAAGTTAGCCTTTGTGTCTCACATAGCCTGGATGTTCAGCACAGTATACAGTGGTGCTCATAAGCTTATGATCCCATGCTAAAGTTGACTAAAAAGAGGAATAAAAAAGAAAAGAAAATTGGTGTCCTTAAAGGTTGGATTTTCCAACTTTTTTAATTAAGTCATTAAGATCAATTTCCAAAAGATGATTTTTTTATTTTTTTATTCCTCTTTTTAGTCAGCTTTAGAATGTGTTCATACACTTATGAGCACCACTGTACAGTACACATAGTATATAAAATAAGATAGATTACACCACTGGCCATATATAATGACAATAATGTAATTTCAAACACAAATGCAGTCCCCTTTCATGCATACATTTTCAAATAAAGCTCTGCTTTGGGAAAGATCGAATGATATTGTTTAATCTTTATCTTACCTTATGGCCTGCACACTGCTTGCGAAGCTGTCGAGGGCACGTTTGATAAAGACAGCATCGATGTCCTTATTCTGTAGCTTCTGGTACGGTGGGCTGGTCAAATGAACCCAATGAACCCGTCCGGATGGCTTCAAAACATTCTATGAGGTCGTCTCGATTCTCGTAGACAGTGTTCACGACTCTGCTGTTGCTAACCTCATCGTTGTGGCGGCGGACAGCTAGCCTGTATCCCTCATCCAGTTGAGTGGCAATATTCACTCTCACCAAAGCAGACAATCTCAAACAGCTATCAATGTGGGTCTTTGACAGCTCATTTTTCTTAATCTTTTCTGAAAGATGGTGCATGTCGGTTACACCAGTCGCTGTCCAAGCGTTGCTGTCTGCCGTTCATGGTTACGTTACGTTACGTATGACGAAAGCGCGTAAGTGCAAGCCCTCAGACACCCATAGAGAATGTATTGAAAGCTCAGAAATGTGAAAAAAAAATATTTTACATTAGAGGCTATGAGAGACTTCTGGGCGATTTTCAACCTGACTGAAATCGCCCCAAAACGGGCGGGGACATTTGAAGCACGACTTTAGCCTGATTGGACATTTAGTGGCTGGCAGATCAGACGTGAACACTGAACTACTGTTGCCATGATATAATTGATTAGAAAAAAAATCCCTTCCTTTTCCCGTTTGGCAGTGCGTCGCCCATATCGCCCTATTGAACACACCGCCCATGATTGCAGCTTTAAATTCAGAATAATGATACTGACCTTGGCCTTTGATGTATTGGAAGGTATCTAGAAATAACAAAATGGGTCATTATCATGCTCTGTTTACCATTATGAAAAATAAGAAAACATGAGAGGGGAACACTTTACACAAGTTGGCGAAGCAGAACAGCCTGTAATGCATTCACGGCCATCAAGCAGTGGTCATTAGCTGAACAAAATGTAAAATAATGACAGAGAAACATTTATCAATAGGATGATCAATGGAATAAGACACACTTATTATAACCATAAAATTTAGAAATATCAAGAGTTCCTAAAGTAAAAGACTAAAAGAGGGGAAAGAAGAAGAGGAATATCCTGTAGCACAAACAGATGATGGAATTTGGAATGGAGGAATAACTCACCGAAAAGGAGGATGAGCAAAAACAGATGACCAGCCATATCAGGGATGAAGAATGCCATTTTTTAGAGAGCTACATACATACTGTTAGTCTGACTTCACAGAATATGGTGGCTGTGACTGGGACATAGAATAAATGTTTCAATAGAGAAGTAGATGTGGAGCTTGTTCACAGGAAAACCACAGATGTCTCATATGGCAAGTGTGGGCTAATGTTATAGAGGACAGGGGGGCTGAACATTCAGAATCATTTATCAGTCATTAAAGCTATTTGTCTTTAACAGATTTTATTTTGTATCATTATTGCATCAATTTGATTTTTAAAACCAACAAACTAACTTGTCTGTCTGAGTAAAATATTTATCTTTGACCTTTTGTTTTAAGTTTTTGACAGCTGCACAAAGTTTAATTACAAAAACCCTGCATTTGTGGTTGAGAGATTTATGATCACCCTATAGTCTGCCCACTTGTATGGGATTATTGTTATTGAGCTACACCCATTGCAATGGAGGGCATTTAACATTGCTCATTCAATTACTTGTATGGGTATCTCACTTCTCCTCATGGTGTCCATGATTGCATGCATAGGCATGTTTATATACACCACTAACTCTTGTCTCTTGGAGCTGAGAAGAAAAAGCAGAAGGAGATACCTTCAGAGGCAGGTATGGTTTCAGTTATGTTCTGACTATTGGCATTGTTCAAGTGGTTTTGATGTGGGTACTGTTCCCTTACTTGTCATAATGGGTACTGTTCCCTATTTGGGCTTTACGGTTCAATTGAACCTAAAATGTTCAATGGGTGATGGTCTGGCAAACCTGTCATTTTCATCTTTCAGGATGCAGACCTCAGGAAGGCCGCAAAAGCATCTGCTTCCAATGTGTCCCCTGCTAAGAAGCCCAGGTCGAAGAGGCCTGCAGAGGGACAGCTGAGGATCAACCCAAAGCACAGAAGACTACCAAAGCTGCCAAGGGTGAAGGAGCAGCCTAGAAGGGTGCAAAGGCCAAAGCTTCCCAGAAGCCTGCAGAGGGTGATGAAGGGGACAATGCTGCTCCTTAAGCTAAAACCACAGGGAAACGAGGCAAGAGGGCAGCAGCAGAGTGACTGCATTCCTTTTATCCAAATGTTGGTTTTAAAGATTCACTTTGTATGTTTTTGATTAAAGCAGTTTGTTTTTTGAAGTTCTTGTTTGTGGTATTAAGTGTAGACCTGGCTGCTGTCAAATGTAATTGTGCAGTCTCCACTTTTCCTGTAGAAAAGCGTTGATGGTTGCTAGGGGTTTGTGAAGATGTTTAATGATTCACTGATGCTTTTTTTAAAAGTTGTTTCTTATACCTGCTTAATGAGTACCCTCTTCTGCCAGGTTACTTGTATCACTAGGACAGTGACTCCCCTGTTCCTGGAATATATTGATGGCAAAGGTGTTTTCTATACAGTCAGGACTTTGTTGTTCGTCCATCATAGGTTGATGACCATGACACGATTCATTGGGATAATCTGGTACAGTGAGTGTACACATGGCTGAGACCAATCAGAGCCCGGCACACTGGACATGACATCTTGGTACCAGTCTCCTGAGGGACAGTTTATACTGGTCTTTTGCTGTTCTCTTCACCATGGCATTTTTGGTCCTGCTGGTTTGTGGTAGCAGCAGTCTTTCTGTACAGTTAGAACTAACCATCTCAAACTAACATTTCCCAAAGCTATGAAGCCATGGGAAATTATTAAACTATTCTGTTATGGGTCAGTGCCCACAATGGTGCAATGGAACATGTTGTACCACTTCAGTTTGAATACCAAATTAGTTCTTGCACCACCTTGTGGACACAGTTTGATATTCCTGATCAAAGGTACCCAAAACAGAGCTTTGTTGTCCGGTGGTGCTCCTGGTTCTTTATTCCCTGGAAGTTTAACCAGCTTCTACTCAACCACCCCTAAGGAGAATAATAAATAATTAATGCTGTGGACCTCAAGGCCTGGATTTGAAAAAGGATACACGGGCAGAGGCGAAGCAAGGTTTTACTCTGCCCAGAATCTGTCCACGACGTAAGGAATTTGTATGGGGGTCAATGAGTCAAATTTGGTCAACAAATAATTGCCAATTTGCTACATGGGACTTATTTTGATTGATTTTTTGTTGTTGTAATTGTTAGGTTATGCAGAGTGGACGCACGTGGCATTTCTGCAACTGAAAACTACATATTGGAGTTGTGCCTGTTGTGATACTTATGGACATTGCCATGGAGGGCTTCCACTATTTTAACGTAGTCAACTGGGTGGGAATTCCTGAGTTGGGAGAAATCTGCCATTGGAGAAAATGGAATACTTTAACATGGAGACCATAGGCAACGCCATTGAAGCGGTCACAGATACAGATTAGTTCTATATCTGTATCTGCCCTCTCATTGGTTAGAATGGTCCCGCCTGCCTTCCATCTTTGAGGACATTGTTAGAGCGGTCACTCGACTAGCTTGACAATATTTGCTACACAACAAAAACATGAGGTTGAAATAGAAACTGGGTGATGTTGACTCAATGACAAGTCAATCCTTCATTTTTAAAACAGCATTTTTATTTGTTTAAAAAATAAAAAGTTAATTTAATTGTCACTAATAAACAGTACGGAAGCACTGAAAGTCTGAGCAGTTTCACAGCTCTTCAAGTATGTTCATTCAGTTTAGTCTCTGCAGGGGCAGGGCCAAGAGTGCAGGGCTTCAAGCTGAGCATATTCCGACTCAGTGTCCTGATCCAATCAGGCCCAACGTCGCGTCCAATAGAAACAAGTCAAGAACCCATCACTTGCTTGATCCAGTGATGAACAAATTAGATGTTGTCCTCAGTAGTGCACTGTAGTTAGTCACATCAATCCTCCCAGAAAGAAGAGCGATTTGGTGAAATGGGCAAAGAGAGGGGCAGAGGAAGAGAAACAAAGGAAGAGAACATATTGGGAGTAAGAAAAGGAAGGGAGAAAGGAGAGATTTTGGGGTTAGAGAAAAGGAGAGCGAAAAAAGGGAAAGACACTTGCCATGTGGATCATCAAAATGCCAGCTGTTTACCTTCCATATCCAGCCACAAGAGAAAGCCCTCAATCATCTGCATTCATGACTGCAATAACATGAAGGAACAAATTCAATACCACTTGAATCAATTCTAAAGCAATAAAACGTCTTCCACATGTAAACAATTTCACTGTTTGAAGAGAGAGAGAAATAAAAGTGTGCAGTTCTCCTGGCTCCTCATCCTCCTCCTTTCCGCTAAGCCCGCCCTTTGTGCTGGCGCCACCACAGTTACATCAGAGGCAGTGTACGAGTTTGTTAGTTAGTCCCCTCCCCTCACACCAGGCCCCGCCTCTCCGTCCCTCATTGTTCCGGGAGCCCCACCCCTAGGTCGCCTCCCCTCGTCATTTATTAAGAGAGCCCCCCCCCGTAGGTCAACTCGGGGACAGCAGGAAGCGATCCAGGTACTGCGAGATGACCTCCCAGTTCCTCCACAGGAAGGCGAGGAGGACGACGAAGAGCAGTGTGGAGAAGGTGCGGCTGCGCGTCTTCATCAGGGGCACCACGCAGTTGGCCACGGTGGAGACGAACACCAGGAGCACGGCCATGACGGCTAGCAGCACGTTGATGAGCTTGCCCAGCAGGGTCCGGGCCGTGGCGTTCTCTAGGCCCTCTAGCTGGACCACCTGCTGCTGTTGCTGCTGCAGCTCCATCTTGGAGATACGTGTCTGGCACACCTCCAGAGCCTCCTACATGGGGGGGGGGGGGGGGACATGGTTAAACAGTTTGGAACGTCACCAACTCGCTTCAGCACAAAACACAGCTAGACCCTATCGTAGAACATATTTTAAATATACACACACACGTATGTATGTATGTATATATACACATATATACACACACATATATACACATATATACATATACACACACACATATATATACGCATACATACATACATACATACATACATACATATATATATATATATATATACATACAGTTGAAGTCGTAAGTTTACATACACCTTTGCCAAATACATTTAAACTCAGTTTTTCACAATTCCTGACATTTAATCCTAGTAAAAATTCCCTGGCTTAGGTCAGTTAGGATCACCACTTTATTTTAAGAATGTGAAATGTCAGAATAATAGTAGAGAGAATGATTTATTTCAGCTTTTATTTCTTTCATCACATTCACAGTGGGTCAGAAGTTTACATACACTCAATTAGTATTTGGTAGCATTGCCTTTAAATTGTTTAACTTGGGTCAAATGTATCGGGTAGTCTTCCAGAAGCTTCCCACAATAAGTTGGGTGAATTTTGGCCCAATCCTCCTGACAGAGCTAGTGTAACAGAGTCAGGTTTGTAGGCCTCCTTGCTCGCACATGCTTTTTCAGTTCTGCCCACACATTTTCTATAGGATTGAGGTCAGGGCTTTGTGATGGCCACTCCAATACCTTGACTTTGTTGTCCTTAAGCCATTTTGCCACAACTTTGGAAGTATGCTTGGGGCCATTGTCCATTTGGAAGACCCATTTGCGACCAAGCTTTAACTTCCTGACTGATGTCTTGAGATGTTGCTTCAATATATCCACATATTTTCCTTCCTCATGATGCCATCTATTTTGTGAAGTGCACCAGTCCCTCCTGCAGCAAAGCACCCCCACAGCATGATGCTGCCACCCCCGTGCTTCACGGTTGGGATGGTGTTCTTCGGCTTGCAAGCAACCCCCTTTTTCCTCCAAACATAACGATGGTCATTATGGCCAAACAGTTCTATTTTTGTTTCATCAGACCAGAGGACATTTCTCCAAAAAGTCCCCATGTGCAGTTGCAAACCGTAGTCTGGCTTTTTTATGGTGGTTTTGGAGCAGTGGCTTCTTCCTTGCTGAGCGGCCTTTCAGGTTCTGTCAATATAGGACTCGTTTTACTGTGGATATAAATACTTTTGTACCTGTTTCCTCCAGCATCTTCACAAGGTCCTTTGCTGTTGTTCTGGGATTGATTTGCACTTTTCGCACCAAACTACGTTCATCTCTAGGAGACAGAACGCGTCTCCTTCCTGAGCGGTATGACGGCTGCGTGGTCCTATGGTGTTTATACTTGCGTTCTATTGTTTGTACAGATGAACGTGGTACCTTCAGGCATTTGGAAATTGCCCCCAAGGATGAACCAGACTAGTGGAGGTCTACAATTAGTTTTCTGAATCCTTGGCTGATTTCTTTAGATTTTCCCATGATGTCAAGCAAAGAGGCACTGAGTTTGAAGGTAGGCCTTGAAATACATCCACAGGTACACCTCCAATTGACTCAAATTATGTCAATTAGCCTATCAGAAGCTTCTAAAGCCATGACATCATTTTCTGGAATTTTCCAAGCTGTTTAAAGGAACAGTCAACTTAGTGTATGTAGAGTATATTTTTAGTGTATGTAAACTTCTGACCCATTGGAATTGTGATTCAGTGAATTATAAGTGAAATAATCTGTCTGTAAACAATTGTTGGAAAAATTATTTGTGTCTTGCACAAAGTAGATGTCCTAACCGACTTGCCAAAACTATAGTTTGTTAACAAGAAATGTGTGGAGTGGTTGAAAAACTAGTTTTAATGACTCCAACTTAAGTGTATGTACATTTCCGACTTCAACTGTACTTCCATTTTTTTTTTAATTGGTACCAGGCTACCTTAAGACGAGGCTTGTGAGGCTTGTGGGGTGGGCGTCCTAGAGCAAAACAAACAACATATACGTGTTCGTGAGAGTCTCACCTTTCGATGGTGAGGTCATAGTGCAGAGTTTCCCAAACTCGGTCCTCGGGACCCCAAAGGGTGCACGTTTTGTTTTTTTCCCTAACACTACACAGCTGATTCAAATTATCAAAGCATGATGATTAGTTAATTATTTGTGTGTAGTGCTAGGGCAAAAAACAAAACGTGCACCCCTTGGGGTCCCGAGGACCGAGTTTGGAAAACCCTGTATTAGTGTGTAGGCTAAACTGTTCAGACGATACAGACAGAAGTTGGCAGATCGGTGGTACCGACTGACACTTGTGGGGGTCGTAGAGCAAAACGGAGAATACCATCGTGTTTGTGAGAATCTCATCTTTCCTTAGAGTTTGTAGGCCAAACCGTTCGGACGCTACAGACATTTTCGTGAGAAGACAGATTTGCGGGATGTCTCCTAGTCTGACAAACACCTCTGTAGCTCTGCCACCTTCCACCGCAGTTTCGGAAGGCCGACATCGGCGGATGCGGTGGATTGAGATGCAGTCGATGCAAAACAGAAATCTCTAGCTTAATCAGACAGGTTTTTAATGGGGATGTTTTTATTATGCTAATTATATTTCCTCAGGGGCGCGGACATTGACTTTTAATGAGATCCACTGGATGAGTCCTCATTCTCCATGTTTTCAGAAAAGACTCCTGAAGATGCACAATGACTACTTCTACACTGAAGTCAAGGGAACTCCCTTCAGGTGAGGGGAGATGCTTTGAGAGTAGGGTACACACGCTTCTTTAGTTTTTCAGCACATTTATTGATTTATCCATTTATCTTGATCAATTCTCTGATGTCCTTCTGAAAGTTGACATGATGGCTGGTTCAGTGAGTGTGTAAGTGCCATGTGTCTCTGTGGGCCCATTTTCCAGACATAGATAACGCCTAGTCCAGTGGAGGCTGCTGAGGGGAGGACGGCTCATAATAATGTCTGGAACGGGGCAAATGGAATGGCATCAAACACATGGAAACCTTGTGTTTATGTATTTGATACCATTCCACCTATTCCGCTCTAGCCAATACCACAAGCCCGTTCTCCCCAATTAAGGTGCCACCAACCTCCTGTGGCCTAGTCCTAAACTGAAAAGCAGAGACTTTCTGATGGCGGAGGATAAGGAGGGGGTGTTCAATGCTGACCACTTCCCTCTGTGGTACAAGAGAGCAGCGGAGCAGGTTCCCGGCACCTTCGTCTACTCTATCCCCTTTGGAGGTATGGAGACACTTACACAAAATGTACCTTTACTCTATATCCAGAATCCCCACACCCAACACAAGGTGTTACACGTTCATAATTTACTTGCACTGTATTTGTATTATGTTGTCTTTGAAATACTACTTCATTTTACTTTAATCAATATACAGTTTCTCTAATATACAGTAGCTCACACTCCCTAACTTGTAATTGAGTGTCAACTGCAGTTTATTTTCCCCACACCCCACTCAATAGATCTCTTTAGTTAACCCTGTGTACTGTATCTCTGTGGGTTACCGTGGAGATTCGGTGTGTCTCTGATAGGTTTATTATGGAGATTCTGTGTATCTGTGTCTCTGATATAGGGTGTACTCAGCCTCTTCGCTCTGGGAGACCTGCACACATTAATCTGGTCTCCCGTCGCTGAAGGCGACATCCCGTACCCCAAAAACATATTTACCAGCCCTCTGGTTTATCTTTTTCTGATCAACCTTTCCTGTCACCGAAGGCAAATCTATAATCCGGAATGCCTTACCAGTTTGTACGGGCTATACACTCTGTGAAAATAAACTTTTCCAGAGTTTACCGAATTCACACCATATCACCCTAAAGCCAAAGGTTAGTTGCCATCTGAGATCACGCGGTAATCTTGCATGGCAGCTACTACGGAGTATGGGGACTAGGGAGTGAACTTTGGAAAATGTTTATTTAAACGTTTATTTTTACCATAGTTCACACATTGTATAGCCCGTTCTGATCGGTAAGGCATTCCGTATTATATATATGCCTTGTGACGGGAAAGGTTTCCCGGAAATAGGTAAATCAGAGGGCTGGTAAATATGTTTTCAGGGTATGGGATGTCGCCTGCAGTGACGGGAGACCAGATTAATGTGTACAAGTCTCACTGAGCGAAGAGGCTAGGGTGTACTGTATAGCTCATCTCTCTCACTGTAATGAATGTAATTAATGTGCCCCACTTTCTTCCCACTGAGGGAAGGAGAGGATCAGGATCATACTGTTGTTCCCTGTTGTCTACCAGCCTCTAACTTCCTCTAACTGCTCTTATCTCTTAGTCTGTTGTTTAATGTCCCTCCTTTACTCCCACCTCCGCTGTTTAATACTATAACCTCCTCCAACAATCCCTGTCCCCAGAGGTTCTGTAGTGCAATTACCAGAACTGTTTTTTCCACAGAACACATCACTCTCTCTCTGTCAGAATAATTTCAAACATCCTGGTTGTAGCGTACTGATGGAATTCCATCACTGAGTGTAGTACTGTGGGTTGCGATTGCCTGCTGAAAGCTGTTGGTATGGCGCCATCTTTTGGTTAGAAAAGGTGTTTTCTCTTTTATTTCTGTGACTTGGTTTTCCTGCTGTGATTATGCAGAGGTGCTGAGGGTGGAATGGAATATATAGTGTATTTTATAAGATCTATTGAAATAGTAGAAATTGTTATTTTCCATTTACACAACATTTGTTGATTGAGGCTAATGTCTGTGCTCTGTGTTCCTGTTTTTCTCCAGGAAATAAGAATAAGAGTGTGGTTTTGGCCAGCACCGCCATACAGCTGCTGGATGACAGGAAGTCGCCTATTGTTGCTTGTAAGCTCCCTGAAAAAACCTTAACTTCTCCCTAGAAGTCTCCCTAGAATAGTGTATAATGCCCCTAACATAGAGAGCTACTGTACCTGTTACAGGCTTGTAACTGTAATGTTTTCAATATAAAGCCCCCTTTGAAGACGTGTGAAGAAACTCTTTAATACATTTGTAATTCCTCTTCTAGACCTACAGTGTGCTGACTGTGTTCTGTTTGTGTTTTTGTTAAACCCACTATAGCCGTTGGGATTCAGATGAAGCTGGATTTCTTTCAGAGGAAGTTCTGGACTGCTAGCAGACAGGTAGACACACACACACAAACACACACACACACACACACACAAACAATATCAAGTGCTGTGAGACATGCTTTATTGATTATTCTAATAATTGATTCATCTTATTGATTCGATCCAGTGTGCTGCTCTGGATGGGAAGTGCACCATCAGCTGTGATAATGAGGTAAGACCAGAGACTACCTGTCTGTCACTCTCTCATGCTACTTCCTGTTTCTTAGCCTCTGGTCTGTGTCTCAGCTTTTCTACTTCCTGTCTGTACTGTCTGTGACCTTTCTCTGTTTCCTCTCAGTATTGAATTACTAAATTATGTCATGCCTTGAAGATTGATCTGTATTTCTAACAGGACTGCAAGTGTTACCTTATAGACAACAACGGATTTATTCTGGTCACAGAGGACTACTCTCAGGTACCATTAATAATATAATAGACACGTGTGTGTGTGTGTGTGTGTGTGTGTGTGTGTGTGTGTGTGTCCCGTAGCTCCCCTGGCTCCTAGTATTTGCTTTTAAATGAACATCTTCTTCCTCAGACGGGGCTGTTCTTTGGAGAGGTGGAGGGTGCTGTTATGAACAAGCTGCTTCTCATGGGCTCCTTCAAAAGGTTAGAGGAGAAATCCTGTTACAGTCGTACCCTGAACACACACACACACACACACTGAGAATGGTCTATTGTCTCCTCTCTCTAGGATCACTCTGTATGACTACCAGGCTCTCTGTAGAGAGTATGCTGGCAGCAGTGACAGCTCCTGCTCTTTATCACATGTAAATACTGCCCCTAAATAGTATCACATGTAAGCACTGCCCCTAAATAGTATCACATACATACACTACTGATCAGACTTACATACATCCAGTCAATGCTAATTATTTAATTTATTCTCTCCCAGCCCTTCTCCATTGTGAAATGGCTCCTGACCGAACTTGTCATGTGAGAATAATAAAAGAATCACCTTGAAACGATAAAATAATGAGATGCATTGATTATCAACCACAGTACATATTATTGTATAAATGTATGTTTGTGTAATCCTCATCAGTTTCCTGCTGGAGTTCAACCTTTACAGCTGGTGGCATGTTGATCTCTCAGTCAAAGGTCAGTGTGTGCAAGAACATACCTTGAGGTGTGTGTGTGTCTGTAGGTGCGTGCGTGTCTATGTCTGTGGGTGCTTGCACACATGCATGTGTGTGTGTGAGTCTTGCGTGTTTTTAGTATGTTAAGATTTACATATCCCATTTCCAGCCCAAAGATCGAGGGGAAAGACCATGATGGTGCCATGTGACACGGAGTACCCTGCCTTCGTCTCTGAGTGCACCATCAAAGAGACCACGGGAAACATCGACTGTGAGGGCTGTGCCAGGTACTGGTAACACAGTTACCTTACCTGTATCTTAGGCACTGATAAACTCACTTAGCCTGTGTGTTGATGGTGTATACACTATACAAGGTAATTTCATGCGTTAGTGTAGTAATATTAAAAGCATCAACTGAATCAACGCAACTCTTTCTTTCTCTCTCTCGCTTTTTGTCTCTCTCTTTCTGTCTTTCATTCTGTCTCTCTCTCCCTCCTCAGATCTTTTGTAATTCAGCAAATTCCTAGTAGTAACCTCTTCATGGTCGTCGTGGACAACAAGTGTGACTGCAGCTCTGCCCCCCTGGTTTCCATGGATCCCATCGAGATTATGTATATCATTTACTAAGCCTCAATAAGATTGAGGAGTTATAGAGTATTTTTAGCACAAAGCTTTTGAGTATTTTTTAGTAGAAGTGTTTTGTAAGTAAATGTTTAGTAGATGGCAGTGGCGGCTCCTGAAAAAATTCTCAGGGGGGGCAATTTTTCTGATGATTTAGGTGACCTACACACATTTAAAAAAAGATATGTCCAGCAACAACATGAAGACAGGGGCAGCATATAAGTCAATACTGATATACACATTACTTGCTTCAAAAAGGCCTCATGGTTGAATTGGAAATATGTGCACCTGAGCATAATTCACAACAAGCAAGCAGGAGCTTTTGATAGAGGCTACTGAAAACATTGATGCAAGTTATTGGTAATAGGAAATGTTTATACACTTCCATATTCTGCCCTCTTGTATATATTTGTGAAAATGAACAGTGATAGACATTTTGCCTGAAAACAGAATTTGAAAATAATTTCTAGAAAAGGTAAACACAGCTATCTGTATGGCTTTGTAAAAATGAACAACCATATTCTGGCCAATTGTATAGATTTGTAAATATGAACAACCATATTCTGGCCAATTGTATAGATTTGTAAAAAAAAAGTTTTACTTTTTTTTAATGGAAAATAACTATTTTAAACAACATCAACTGTGAACTGATTTGGGCGTGTGTGTGTTAAAGAGACAGACAGGGAGGGACAAAGAGAGAGAGAGGCTACATTACTTGTACTGAAACTGTTCTCTTCTCTCTTTCAATGCAGCAAAGCGGTCAATGACTTTCTCATTGAAATCAGGCATAAAATTCAGCTGATGCACATAGCAATGCACGTAATGGGCATTCTTGAAATGCTCACGTACCTTTTGCTGCACACCAGCCTTCTCTCCCCTCATCACACTGGCTCCATCGTAAGCTTGCGCAATGAGTTTGACTCTCAGTTTCAGTCTCTCCAAAAGCACACTGGCGATTGAGACTGAGGTTGATTCCGAGATGGGAAGGAACTCAAAAAAGCGCTCCTGCACTCTGTGGTTGCTATCTATGTACCTCAGCACCAGCTGTGTATGTGTAGAAACGTCCGTGGTCTCGTCAGCTTGGATAGCTACGAAGTTCGCCGACTTCACCTCCTCCACAATATGTTTCCTCATGACCGCTAGCATACACTCCAGTAGCTCGTTTTGAATGGTCTTTGATGTGAACTTCTTTCAAAGAGACAATCGAGTTGCACTGAACGCTATAGCCATCTTGATAGTAGTACGTGAATTGATTGACGCTGCTACCCGCTCTTTTCTTAGTTACGTTCATGGTTATGTTACGTATGACGAAAGCGCGTAAGTGCAAGCCCTCAGAAACCCATAGAGATTGTATTGAAAGCTCTGATATTTGAAAAAAAAAGATTTTACATGAGAGGCTATGAGAGACTTCTGGGCGATTTTCAACCTGACTGAAATCGCCCCAAAAGGGGGGGGGGGGGGGGGGGGGGGCATTTGAAGCACGACTTTAGCCTGATTGGACATTTAGTGGCAGATCAGACGTCTAGATTAGAACACTGATAACTACTGTTGCCGTGATATAATTGATTAGAAAAAAAATCCCTTGCTTTTCCCGTTTGGCAGTGCGTCGCCCATATCGCCCTAATGAACACACCGCCCCTGGTAGATGGGTTTTGTAAGTTAACAGTAAGTGAACTCTGAACTCAGACTTTTGTTTTCTTAGAACGTGAACAACCTTTTTCATTGTCAGAGGTATTAATACATTTCTCATACATGTAGGTATTTATGAAGCGTGCGTTATGGTTTTGTTTTCTCATCATGCTAGAATGATGTTGCAGAAATGGTCACCACAGTGTCAGTTAAATGTATCTGAGGTATCTGAGGTTTGCTTCATCATCAGTATTTCTATCCTTAACCCCTCTGCACACAATGACTCTCTGAAATGTGATAGGCTGAAGTTTCAGAAGGACAGAAAGCGGCCAGAATCGTGTCATCCTTTCCATCCCGAGGTACGCAGTATGTACATGTGTGTGTGCGTCTGCGTCAAAATTCTGTGATTTTACAAAAAGTACATGAATGCCTGTTTGAGTGTTTAATAATGTGACATTAAGCATATATGTGACCATCTGTATATTGTCTGAACCATATAGATATATAGTGTATGTATTAATTAATTTCTAAGGTCTGAAACTCCTGTGATGTCCCCTGTGTCTGATGCAGGAGAATGCCATGGAGTGTGGAAGAGCAGCAGGCCTCTCTGCCCCCCTCACAGCAGCACTGCTCCCCCTATCAATGCCCTGGCTGTGTGTTTCGGGTCGTTGTCATGCTGGAAGACCCAGCTACGACCCATCTTCAATGCTCTTACTGAGGGAAGGAGGTTGTTGGCCAAGATCTCGCGATCATGGCATCCATCCTCCCCTCAATACGGTGCAGTCGTCCTGT